TGTCTGAAGGGGTCTGCTGGCAATGTCTACTTTCAGGCAGCTAACTAAGGATCTTTTTAAGCATTCTGCAGAGAGGAATCTATAAGCCCTTTTTGGGAGTTCCAAGCTAACCACCACAATGCGATGCTGAAAGTCAAATGGCTTGAACACTTCTAGGATGAGAAATATAATTCAACCAATTAACAGCAAAAGGTATCATTTATATGCAGGAGTAATTGCAAAGTTTTCATTCCTCTTCTAAATAGGAGAACAAGAATGAATACTTATGCAGCCAGACCCTTTCTTAATAGCTTTCTCTCCACTGCTTGCTTGTCCAGGTGTTTAACAGATCCCTTAAATGTGAGTTTCAGAACTTTACTTCTGCTGCACCCCTCTTTGTTCCTTTACAATAAAATCTAAATTGCTTTGTTTCCTTTTGCTATTTAACCTCAGAAGAGGGGTCTTGCACTAGCTACATTACTTTCTTTTACAACTGCTTTCCCATACATTCATTGAAATCAAATGTATTTCAACTGGCTGGAATTTCTTGTTGTTTTTTTTTTTTTTCTTTGAACTGCTGTAATGTAACACAAATCAGGTTTGATTCCAGTAGTTACTTAAAAGGCATTAACTACATCTTAGTAATTTCTGTATAAAAGACATGACATCAAACCCTGTACCTCCCCCATGATACAGAGTACACAGCTCTTCATTGGTTTCCTCTTTTGTGACTGCAGGACAGTGAAGCAACCTGTGTTCCTATGGGCTAACATAGCTTGTTTTGTTAGAGTGCATCCATGAATACTTGGCAATGGACTGAGAAAAAGGAACAGCTGAGACCATATTTATTTTCTATTTTTATCCAAACTCCTTTTTTCTTGTCTACACTTAATTTCTCCATCACAGAAAGCCAGTATTTCAGAAAAAAATCAGTGATCATGAGTTCAGGTTTTTTTATGAACAACTGTGTGAAGGGATTGGTGAATTACTGAATGTTTCTTCATTAACATTCCCAGCCTCCTTTTATACCACTGTACCACAGGACTTTATCTTGTTTGTTTAAAACTAAACTGGAGTGATTTAATTATTCCAAGCTAAGAAATAATTAATTATTCATCAATTATTCACCCGACTTCACTTTCAATCTGATATACATCAAACTGTTTAAGAAAAAATCAAGGCCCAACAACATGCAAGATTTTATTTTCTACTCCACTGCTATCCCCAGCATTCTTGAATACTTCAGATTTTTCTCAGATTTACTTTGGATTTATCATTTTCAAACTAGTTCAAAGAGAAGCATAACTCAAGGATAATAAAATTCCCTAATTGTGTCACTTAATCATTAGAGATAACAGCATTTCAGAACAATTTCTCTAGTGACACAATTAAGCTCATAGCTGGGATGTATTTTCTACTGTCAGCCAATCTACAAAGGCATACTGCAGATAAGGATTACATTCTACCTTTTTATAAAGACAACCACACCTGAAATATTATTGTTTTAAAAATTGCAGAAATAAGAACAAAATAAAGGTACACAACTCTCTATTACTTTGCTGTATCTCAAGCTGCTTCTGATAGGCAGGATAGACATTACTGAGCACATTTGACAGGAGAACAGAGTGTGGAGCACAGAGAGAACCAGAATCTAGATTAGCCATTCTATGCTGCACTTCAGCACCTACTTTTGCTTCAAACTGAAGCAAAACAAACCTTTCCCAAGACACATGCTATATATGTGGCACATATAAAAGCAGTTAAAAACCTTTTAGAATGAAGATATTTTGTAATACCATTTTGTTTGGTTTGGGCTTCATTTTTTTCAAATGTTAAATGCATTGTAAGCAACATGTGAACCTGATAAGGTCTGTTGTACAGGATCGTTTATAGCAAAACTGAAGATGCAGAACTATAGATTCAGGCAGCAGCTCCATGGAAGAGTGAGGAGCTCCATCCTTTAGATTGTGAGGTCTTCTCACACGAGGCTGCTAGACAATAGGAAAAGAACAAATATACAGATCCAGTGCTTAGTCATTTTGTCTGAACTGGAATATTTGCTACTCACAACCACCTACCACCAGATTTCACATCATTTCAAAGTCAGCAGAGTTATCTTTTCACTGGTTCTACACGTGGTGGTTGCTGCTCCTGTGTATCCAACTATCAGAAACAAATTAGGTCATGGTCAAAGATCATATACCAAAAAATTTCATTGTTGCTTCATAAATGACAGAAGGATACAAGACTTTATAGAGCATGTGGCCAAGAAACCTCACAGAGGTTCACTCTGTAAAACATTTAACAAAAACTACTCAAACAGAGGGAAGAAGTGGCAATAAGCAGTTGTATCTTAGCTCCCAGGAACCTGTTTCTTCCATTAACATCTTATTAATGCCTGGCAGGTGTTCCACAATGCAGAGCTTGGCATTAGCAAGTCATTATGAAGAGAAACAATGAAGAGTCCTATTTCCAACAGCCAAGAAATTACAATGGTATCTATGAAAAAGCAGAAAGGAGGAGAGAATGTTCTATTGTAATCATAGGTTTTTCACATTTAAGCATGGTTGGCTAGGCTTCCTATAGCTGACACAAATTACCTCCCTAGATAGTTTGCAGGCTTTTCAATATCTGATGCACTATTTTTGTATTAGGCAGGTAAAATCTCTATTATCAATCATTTTGCTACTTAAGTTCCAGTGTGCATTTTAAAACTGCTTAGATATTTTTCTATTAATGTCAGCAGTTTGCTGGAAGATGAAAAAGAACTACATTGCAAGAGAAAATGTAATACCAGGAGACAGAAAATAGTTGTTTCACGCACCTTTTGGAGGTAGCTACAGCCCGCACTCAAACAGAATTTTGGGTGAAATGCTCAATGATCCCTTGTAAAGCGCGCCCCCGCGTGGTAACCGACATCTCTGCAAAACTAATTTTCTTCACAGCTCCCAGCTAACATTTCGGTCTCCAAAACTACTTCGAGTCGGTGCTCACACCTGCCCCGGTACTGGGACGACTTCTCTGAGTGGGAGTGTCCCAGACACATGTAAAAACACATGCAACACTCTGCCCTAGAGGCAGTTTCTCAATCTATGGGCAAGGTCAAAATTATTAAGAACATTCTTTTCTCATACCTTGTTTATTAAAGTCTCCTCAGTATTCTCTCTCAATTTTTCTTCTAAGCTTAAAAGTTACTGAGTAGGACCAACCCACTGTCTCCAGAAAAATTATAAGGATACACTCATTTCACACAAAAGAAGAAAAAAAAAAAAAAACTTGAAGGGAAAAAACCTGACACTTCTGACTAAATAGCAAGCTGAAGGAAGTTCCACTGGCAGTCACTCTTTAATTTAATAGCACTGTTAAAATGTAGGGTTGGAAGAGAAGTAGCAAATGTATTTACAAAAACAGCATCTACTCAATAATACTGAAACACATTCCAAGCATATGTGTTAGGAATAACCTGCTGTGGCACCAAATAAAAACTATTAAAAAACAGAAGTGGAACTCAATAGGACTATCAATGAAAACATTTGTTCACTTAAAAAAATCCATCAGAAATAATATTGTTCAAGTGTGCAGAAAACCAAACTTACACAGAAATACAGTCTTATGATGAAATACCCTAATTTTTGGGTATTTTCACTTCAAGCTTTTTAAAGGACTATTTCATCTCATATATCATATTTTTTTACTATATTTCTGAGTGATTTTTATTATATCAACATTTTCCTTTTTTTTTCCTCTTAAAGATAAGGTAGGCTGAAAATACTAACCAAAAACAATGGTCCTGGGAACAATATAAATAATGGTTTGTAACACAAGGATATTATTGTTCTGGTAATGTAAAAGAATGTCCAACAGAGGGTGATAGAGACCATGCATTTGTTAGACACAACTCATCAGTTTTATGAGTCATAGATCAGAAATGCAATTAAAACAAGTTTCTGGCCCTTGCTGAATTAGTTTGAGATCAATGAAAGCTTTAAAGCACAACCAACTTTACCCAGATCTAACCTGTACAAAGGCAATTCAAAGCTATGGCTTTGCTTGCACTAAGAAACACAGAACAGGGACAAACATGGCATTGTCCAGATGTGCACAAGTAAGAGGAACTGGGACATGCAGAGGACAAGACTGTATTCATCAGTGATTTCCCCTGGCAAACCAACTATTTAAACTGAACATGACCTCTCACTATTTGAGTTCATGAGTCACATCTGAGCCACTTCTGCAGCTTTTGCCAACATATATAGGAAACATCAGCCAAGCATCAAGTGCCCCTCACTAGGAATTTATTTCTTTCACTAACCTTACTTGAAAGATTACAATTTTTTCTTCTAAACACTGTAACATTTTGTTTAAGATTGCTACCATCTTGCAAAAAACTGTATTTATTCATTGCAAATGGAATCTACACAGCAGAGTGCAAAAAGTCAACACAGCAGCTCTTTCTGAACCCATGAAAAGCAGCCACTCAATTGCTCTCTAAGAGAAATCAGTGCTGAGTGAAAGCCAGTAAGACCTGAGGCAAATGTGGCCCAATCAGAAAAGTTAGACTACAAGCAGCTATAAGGCAATCCAAAGAAACCATTCTGTTGCAGACTCTGAAAAATATCTCCACTCTAAAACTGAATCAAAGAAAGATATTGTATTTTGTTCTTATTTAAGCTTTCAATCTTTTTGTTCTGGTTCTTTCAAAGAACCTCTTCTGTAGAAAGTAAAATATGTGGAAAAAACTCATTGCCAGACACCTTAATTGTGGCTAAAACACCTCCTGAATCCATCCCTTCAGCACTCCTTAATTTGTTCTCAGTAAATACACACGTTAGTTAGGAAATCACCCAACCTGTAATAATAACAGCTAATGTTTTTCACATCTACTTTAATAAAAACAAAATTGTGAAGAAGAAGCAAGCTGAAGCCAGCATTGGCCAGGTTCTGGCAGCTGAGGCAGCCCTGCCTTACCTTGCACTGCCCTGCCACACAGATGGCCGTGCCGTTGGGGTCGCAGGGCGTGCCGTCGATCACGGTCTCCGCCTGGCGCACGTAGAATCGGTAGCCGATGGCCCGGCAGTTCAGCTCGCACTTCTGACTCCCCTTCACTGTGGACACAATGCAAGGCCCCGTTACAAAGAGCACAGCAGGAGATCGCAAAAGGAAAAGCTCCTTAAACGAGCAGTAAGGTCTCAGGGGAAGAAACAAGTATGCAAACAATGCATTGTAAGTGACCACATCAAATGAACCAGCTCCAAGGTAAGCATTCCAGCACACCTTATGACAATGTAAACAGTACCTCGATTGTTGACAAATGTCACTTCCCTAAATGACCAAGAGTACTTTTAGTTCCTCAAACACATTGCCCAGCTGTCTTCTTAAAGCCTAGTAACATGTTATGGCATTTCATAACTCTTGAGTGCCAGACAAATTACACCATAATCAGAAGGATGTGCACCAAATCAGGCTCACTTATAGTCCCCAGTCTGTTCAGGTCCATTAGGCATACAAACATACAGCACTGAGATACATTCTAAACAAGAGAGATGCACATTTTTTTAAATTCCATTGTTTTTTCTCTTCATTTTTACAAGTTACACTTTAGTGGGTATTCCACTAAAAAAACCCTCAACTCTTACATTCTATTCCACTAAATTTCATTTTCAAAAATGTATAAAATTCATTATCATTAAAAACCCTGTGATTTCTGCTAACATGCAAGAACCAAGAGGAAATCAGTCCACTAAACTCTAGGTGAGAGGAACACAGGAGACAAGAAGCAAGAAATGTTATCTTCTCCTGTGAAAATCTGTTCCTTGAGAAGATAGAGTCTAACAGTCCCCACATCTTATCAGGTTTGTTAACACATTTGTGTAGCCTTTCTGTTGCAAATCATCTGTCATGTCAGAGTTGCTCTCAGCTTATTACCCCATTTGCTAACTGACATAACAGTATCTTCAGTTTCTTTCCAACCAAGAGTAATGTTGATACTCAGTGGCAGCGAGGTCCAAACAGAAATCCTCTTTTATGACAATACTTTCATTGCTGCCACAATAATGAACTGAAATTCCTCTCACTTCAGCTCATCCCCTATACTGAAACTGATACCTACTATTTAATCTGTGTGTCAAAGGACACCTATTTAATCTATATGCCCTCATCTAATGCTAAAACATTGTGTTCAAAAGATTTTCTACTTGACTTCAGTGTATTTTTGAATCTTCAGCTAAGACATAACAAAAAGCCAAAATAAATAAAAGCAATCACTTCAAATATATATTAAACAACTGTTTTCAGGGGGTAACTTCAGTTACCCCCTATGCAGACATAGGATTAATGCAGAACAATTCTGTATCCTACATTTTGCCTCATACAGCTGAACTCATTTAACTGCCACACATATACATCATGTACTGTGTCTGGCAATCTTCTGATAAAATCCACAAAAACATCCATGAATTTTAAGAGAGGTCAAACATCTGTTTACCGAGTTTGGGTTTTTTGCAGAAGCCAGCCATGCCATGTTCAACTAGGTCATTCATCCATTGGCCAATGGATGACATTTTTTAAATTCACCAGCTTATGATTCCAATGACTTCATTTAGTTATTACAAAAAAAAAAATCCAACTCCCCCACCCCCCAAAAAAACCAAAACAAAACAAAAAAAACCCATCCCAAACTGAGGCATTTCCTGCAGTTCAATCTACAAGTGTAACAGTCAAGTCTAACGATAAACTGAGCTTTATTCTTAGTAGCTTCATCACTTCACACATAACTATATTCAGAGTTCTCAAATAAATATAACCCAGTTTCAGAGATTCATTACAATTTAAGTCAACTTGTCCTTTTCTCTGTCTGAAAGTGTCCTATTTTCATAACACACAAAGCAATCAAGCAGCACCTCTGGAGAGTACATTTTCTTATCTTTCCATTCTCTAAAATCAAGTCAAACAAGCTATTTAGGGTTTCTGAAATGTCTTTATCATCTGTGTTTGTTCCCTTAAGTTCAGTATCCTGAAGCCTCACGTTCCCATATTTTTCCTCTCACCATCTCCCCTATAGTTTTGATACTTTAAAATATTTGTTATTTAAATTATTAGCTGGCCTTCTAGATGCCAGTTGAAAGTTTAGTGGTACTTGGAGATGAAAAAATTACCTGTTGGAGCATGGTATTTTTTCCTGGATCTCTCTCCTTCACTTCTGCTGCGACAGGTCAGCCTACTGCATTGCTAATGCAGCTAAGTAACAACCCCAAGCAGGCTGAGATTACTTGCTGTGTAAAAATATAATTCCCATTTCATTATTTCTGTGTTTCATTCTTTCTCATCAGGAACTTTGTTCCCAGTCATACAAAAAGAAGTATTAGAACAGTCACTGTCTCTGACCACAAACAAATCAGGCTTTAAAAACAAACATGCCCTATTACCCTCTGGCCTTCAATATTCAGATTCTTTTGATGAGTACCTGTAAAGTACTGCCTTGACTAGGCATATAGTCTCCAGAGAGCAAAATCTGTAAACTGAATTGTCCCTGCTGAATGACAGGCATTTCCCATAAGAATTTTATGTAAGCATTATGTATTATTGTGTAAGATGCAGAAATTACAGCAGAACCAACACATTTTAGAATTCCCATGTAGAACAAGATACCACACTAATAGAAAAACCTCCCTTACCCTGTGTTCTGCCACAACTCCTGAGGTTTTACAGTTTAGGTGGTAGGTCAAGATACACTACTGGCTTGGCAACTGGACATAAGATGTCAATTAAACAAAGAGCTGTGAGGCAACTGATTCCACACAGGTCACATTTTTGATTCCCATGTCAGTTTATCCTACACTTCACAAAAGTATATATCTTCCCAACTAGCTGGCAGCAAGACACATTTCCACAAAAAAAAAACCAACTCAGTTCTTTTGAAGTTTCTAGGACAATTAATTACACAAGTACCGTTTAACATGTCCTCCTAGTGTATTCGTTGTTTATTTGCATGCTTACCTTAGCATAACCAAGTCTTTGTGCAAAGTCTCACCTTATCCCACCTAATTAAATAGTGAACTTGGGTGAAGTTTAATGTTGCCACACAGGTTCTGCCAGACACACTAATTATTGATTTAACTGAAGGTGCCTTTAGTGAAAAATCTTGATAACATGTAATGTTTGGTTTTCATTTTACAGACTGAAAAAGTATCTAAATCAACAAATTAGTACTTTCCTTAAAACATCCTTACCAAACTAGCCTTAAGTACCTCAGGGACATTCTGGTCTTCTCCAAACTGCAAGCCTCAGGAGTTGGTTTTTTCCCAAGTTCTCTGTTGAAACTTACCTTCCACCTTTCCCTAGAAGGAATAAGAGCCAGGCATGCTAAAGCAGAACCACAGCACAGTTCTACTGCCTTCCACGCCCCCAGTAAGAACACAAAGACTTCACCTTCCAAAACTGCACATCACACAGCACACATTGCAGTGAAAACTTTCCACCATTCTCCTAAGACTGGTTTTACTGACCAAACTTAAATCACAAGTAACAAATTTCATTGCAGATTTCAGTGCAGTAGAGGATTGATGAGAAAAATACGTATCCACACATTTTTCAAAGGGGAAGGAGTAATTTATGTGCATCACACTACAACTAGTGGCTGGAGTTCAAACTGTGTCTCCAGCAGCATTTGGGGCTGAGGCCTCTCCTCAGGCCCTGCAGAGGGGACGGCAGCCGCACGCCGCTGGGAATCAAAGAGCAAGGGAGAAGTGTCTGTCTGCCCTCCACCGGGATTCACAGGCTAACAGTCAAGAACCAGCCCTGATCTTTTACCCCACGACAGGGAAAGCATTGGCGTATCCGCGCCCACGACACGCTCCCGGCCCGAGGTCCCGGCCGTGTGCCCGCCATGAGGCGAGACCAGCACCGAGCGCGGGCCAAAGGCGGCGCGGCCCGAGAGAAAACTCCCTGCAACTGCACACGCTCGTTCTAAAACTCCCGGGAGAGAGTAAAACAAGCGAAAACTCCCTGCAACTGAACACGTTCTTCTCTTGTTCCCGGCCCGGGTCCAGCCGCTCCCCGGGAGCTCGTCCCTGAGGGAGCCGATGGCCGCCGCGGACCCAGCGACGGCCGCGCGCGCCCTCCGCCGCTGCCCGGCGCGAGCCAGCCCCGCTGCGCGCCCGCCCCTCACCCGCGCCTTCCTCACGCTAAAGTGTAATCAAAGCCCTCACAAAACACCCCACCCACGGCAGAACAAGGCAGGAAGACAGAAACATTCAGAAACATTTCTTACTTGCATGAGTTTGTGAATAGACCTGTTTGCATGTCAGCGAGAAAGAGCATTTTTCACATCTTAGCACTGTGCTGGCCTGTCCCAGTGCCATGCTGAGGGGCCCTGGAGCAGCACGGTGGGATGCACAGTCCCCCAGCTCCAGCCACCTCCCCTGGGCTGGACAGGGCTGGCACAGCCCACGGCTGGTCACCACGGCTGGTCACCGGGGCTGGACACCGGGGCTGGACACCGGGGCTGGTCACCGGGGCTGGACACCACAGCCGGTCACCGGGGCTGGACACCGGGGCTGGACACCACGGCTGGACACCGAGGATGGACACTACAGCCGGTCACCATGGCTGGTCACCATGGCTGGTCACTGGGGCTGGACACCGGGGCTGGATGCCACAGCCAGTCACCATGGCTGGTCACCACGGCTGGTCACCACGGCTGGTCACCACGGCTGGACACCACGGCTGGACACCACAGCCGGTCACCATGGCCGGTCCCCGGTGTGGTGACCCTGAACCACACGCACTCCACCTTCCACACAACCAGAATCTCTCAGCATAGCACAGCCCCCATGTCCCACTCTCCAGCCAGGCCTTCTGCCTCCTGACCCTCCACCTGCACACCACCGAGTGTGTGGGAGGACTTTTGTACTTCATGTCAGCTCCTCCCCTCCTTCAGCTTCCTTTTCCAACGTGTTCTGCCATCCTCAGCAAGCCCCCGCCCAAGGAAAGGCTGTGGAGAGGCACATGGGCATGGTGGATAAGGAGGCCAGGCTGTGATTGAGCTTGAAGGGATACAGAAAGAGCTTGGCAGGCAGCTTGCCAGTGCACAGAACTGCAATCTAGT